TGTATTTAGGCCCAGTAGCATTTAAGATCGTAACTGTCTGCTGATATTTGATTGGATATTGAGAGTATTGTCCCTGATGGCAAAAGCACAGTAATTTAAAATCTTGTGAGAGCTTACACTTGGCTGAAGTAGACAATCATTTTATGTGAAAGTGGCATTGACTCGTGTCTGCATTTGCTACTCATTCGGTTAATGTACGTAAAGATGAATATATGAAAAGCCCAGCTGAGGGTGCTCACAAAGGCAAGCCTAGGCTGAGGAAGGGCTAAATCATGAAAGAACCCTGATTTTCAGTGGGACGCATGCCTGCATGGAGGGTCTGTGTTTCCCATCTCAGGATGGAGAGAGAGGGCAAAGGAGCCACACAAATTTTCTAAGTGTTTGGGAAGCAGAAGTGCTCTTGTCTTTTTCCTCCTTTTCTTCTTAGATCCTGCATGGTAGGCAAGATTGCTAGAACTAGAACCCAGCAAGGAAGACGCAGTGGATGAGCAGTAAGACCTCGGACTGGAGTGTCTATTTTGGCCTGGGGTAATTTAGTGGACCACACTTGCAATCAATTAAGTACCTCTGAGCATTCACTTGAAAGTAAAATAAAATTCTGTCTTATGTCATTGTGAATCCTTGTTTCTGTTTCTTACAGTCAAAATAAATACTACTTGAGTATGTAGGTATGTTTTAAGAAGTAACTTTTGGTTTCACCAATTTCTCTTTTTTGGTTGCTAGCTGAATACTGATTCAATTCTGCAAGAGGGCCTTTACTGAGTATGAGAAAAACAAATCCAAAAAACAGTTTTCTGAATATATATATAGCTTAAATATATTTACATCCTCCATATATATTGTAACAATTATAACTTAGATGTATATCATTGTATAAAGTCCCTTTTCACCCTTATGTTTACTTAGGTAGAATGCATACAATCTATGAGGTAGTTCAAACACACTGTCCATGCTCCTTCCAGAATAATTTTGTACACGAACATTGCTAGTATATGAATATGTCTGCCCCCGATATTTCTGCCCGAGTTTAGTAGTGGGTCATTGTTGCTACTCTGGCTAATTTCATGGGCAAAACGTGAAACATGATGGATCTCTTAATTGTATATGTGTTTGTGCATTGGATTTCTGTAGGCAGCACATATTTCCTTATGTTTTTTGGCCATTTGTACCTTTTTGGTGTTCCCAAACTTTGATGTTATTGGGAATCTTAGTGTATTTCCTGTTGATTTGAAAAGGATACTTTTGTCAGTAAATTTTAACAGTTATTAAAATATTTTACTTCTGTTTATCCTATCTGATTAGATATTCAGATTTCTCTTGGTTTGGGGACTATTTTTCCACTTGGCAAATATTTCTTTTCAATTTTAATGGCACTGAAGTCAACAGTGATATATTTTTCAAAAAGCACTCTAATGTGCACAGAGCTACTTTATATAATAACATCAGTGTTTAAATGTCATACTGATGCTGTCTTGTCCCTAAGAAGGTGTTAAATATAATTGTGTAGAAAAGAGGCACAGGATTTATTTTGTGGAAGGTTCACCTTAGAAAAACATTGGCAAGAGCCACAGATTTCCTGGCAATAGAATGGAACACTTTATAACCTAAATCAAATACAGAAGACTACACCCATCAGATTAAGGATAAGTTGGAAGCAGCAAATTTGAGTTTAAAGTATTGGTAGCTGCTTTAAAAAAAAACAGTTACCTGGACATCTGACTGAATTGTACAAACAATTAGCTTCTTTTCTTCCTTTCACTGCCTTTAACTATGTTACTTTTACTATTTTTTCCTTTTCAAATTAAAAAAGAAAAGTAAAAAAAAATTCCTTCATTATGGCTTTTGTAATTTTGTTTATTTTTTTAAAAATCAGGTTCTCTTTTGGAAATATTTGCAACTATTTTTTATTGACTATACTTTGTTTTCAGCTGCTCTCTCCTATTTTGATAAATGTATTAGTCCTAGTTTGAAAATTTGTTCTTCTGCATTCTGCCATAACTGCCCAGTTACGAGAAGGTTGAATCTAAAACTTGATCTGTAGGTACTATTTGTATTTCTGCTGCCACTACCGCTCATAACATTTAATATACATAGTACTTTTCATGCTGTACTTTAAAAATATTATTTTATTACTTTTGTAAATAAGCCCATTAAGCACTGGAGAGATAGGCTGAGTTGTCTTCATTTTGCCTTCTTTACCAATAAGAGCCTCTAGCCACAACTTGGTAATCTATTCTAAAGCCATCAGTTTAAGTTACTAGGATAGTTTAGTTTAAGTGACCTAGGATGTCGGTTTATATTTTCAAGGACCTACAGGAGTTCATGGATATCTGACATTAGGCAAATCAAGCAGCTCCAGTTGAGCGTGTGATCATCTATTTGGTCAGAATTCAGCATTACGTCGAATCTCCTTCTCCATCCTTCATTAAAAAATAAAAAGAATTACTAGTAGTATTTCTTCATATAGAGAATGAAAACCTGGAATTTGCAGTCAAGGAAGATCCTAAAATCTGAGACAGCACATGGATAAGCAACTAATTATTAAAAAAAGAAAATCAGAATGAAGTGTGAATTCTTATAGAGATACTATCAAGGTGCTATTATAGGAGTTCCTTAGATTTCTATTGCTGTGACAGATATGCTCATTGAAATCAATTTAAAAGGAGGATGTGTTCATTGCCGCTTACAGTTTCGGTCCATACTTGGTCGGTGCCATTATTCTTGGGCCTGTGGCAGGCAGGTCACTGTGCTGAGCTCACTGGTGATGCGGAAGTGCTCACTTCATCGTGGCCCGGAAGCAAAGGAAAGAAGTGATTGGCTGCCAACATTCCCTCCCAGGACACACCCCCAAAGACCTAAATCCCTTCCTTTGGCCCCAACGTTTAAAGATCCTACCATTTCCCAGTGCCACTAGGAGCTGGGGGCCAAGTCTTTGACACAGGCCTTTGGAGGACATTTAGGAGCCAGACCACACAACAGGGGGTATAATGGAATGGGAAGAGTGATTTATTTTATTTTATTTTTACTTCGGGGCTGATGAGAAAAAGCTTCTTAGAGAACACAGCTTTGAAGAATGAAGGAGATCCATGCTGTTAGAAGCGGTTAATTCCCTGCAGTTTTAGGTTTTCCGGTATGGTGGGGCTGTTCTCTCCTGAAGAGCTCACGGAGGGTCACGGAGGCTTATAGATCTTTCAGTCTGAATACAACCAATTGCAATTTGGGGAACTGGAATACGGATGCAACGAGCTTGTTGGAGGCATACAACACATCTCAGCACCCAAGGATTTACTCATAATGAAAATGATAGCCATTTGAAATCATGAAACTTTGCAAGAAAAAAAAGACCTTAGAAATTATATATTTAATCCTTTTATTTACAAAGTCCTAAATCGGTTCAGTAATTGACCAAGGCCACTCAGTTAAGTTGGGCAAACTCTTCATGTATCAGAAAGCATGGAGCTGGACTAGGCAATTTTCAATGTCCATTACGGTAATTTTTCATTGATGATGTGAAATAAAATCATTGGATCCCCATGTCCAGTTGTCAGCGATAAAACTCCGAGATGAACTTGCGGTTGTGGTAAGTTGGAAAGAACATGAAAGGGACTAAAGGCAGGAAAT